TTCCATTTAGTGGAGTTGTATGTAACGACAGCAGCAGTATTCTGCCTTCCATTTTCCTCTTTCAGATTCCTTGTTGTCCAACTCTATTTACCTGCCTGCCTCTGCAATGCTCCACGAAACCATTAGACTAGCATTCACTTGCCACAAGCTCCACTCTCTGGGATCTGCTCCTTGCCAACTGACCTAGGAATCCCATTGTCAGGAATGATAGATTGTCAGGCCAGCAACTGTGCAGAAATGCAGCCCTACTTCTCCATGCAGGAATTCTCTCTTGCATGGTGTAAAGTTTAGGCAACAGACTAGGTTTTCCCTTAGCAGGCTTGGTTGATATGTGCTCCTAGCTCCCATGAAGTAGCAGCTTCTGCACTTCACAAAGAGAAGGAACAGAAATTACAGCCGTTCTCTGAATTATCGAAACATGACTGCATAGAAATTTCTTTAAAATAGGTCTTTCTTTAAACCTCACAACCAACCAAAATGCAATCTGACATACTTCTGGCATGCCTGGGTTGGTACTTCCAAATCTAGAATAAGCTTTACTTTAGAGCTTTAGAGAAAGACAAACTAAGTACGCATAGAAAATATGATTGAGAGGTAAGAGATTATTGTTTATAGCATTTCTTCCAACTTCTATTAATTTCACCTTTTTCTTAAAGCAGCTTGAGCTCCTCCCAGAAAAGCCCACCTACCAGGAATCTAGCCAAGGAGTGTGAAAGCCTCCTCCAGGTCCAAACAGTACATTTAGTGAGGAAAATACCAGTTCTGAGCAACTCTATCTGGAGGGCAAAAGGCCACCTGGATTTAATTCCAAGTAGAACTAACTATTTAATTTGTACAACAATCCCATTGACAACAAAGATGAACACATATGTCTCCTTTAAATGCCTCAAGGAATCATCCTCTTTTTTTTTTTTTTTTTTCCCATTTCAGTAACCATGGTAACTTTGGGCAAAACTAGCTTTCACCTCAGAAATTGTTTTCTGTGATAAAGGGTTTAAAATAGCATTTGTCATCTAATGGTTAACTTTTTCCCCCTGTACACCCGAGTGATGGAGAGAACCTCTGCTTTACAAAGGAAAGAGAACCTCTTCTGATCCTTTCCAAAAAACCTTCAAGGTGGATGGCAGTGACTACAGTCAGGTACTGAAAAATTATTTTTAACTGAACCTTCTTTAGTATATGGCACAGATCCTTAGGAGAAAGGTGTATGACTCAGGAGCGTCTATCACACTGGCAATCTCCTACCAGTGTTTTGTGGCATTCCCGGCATTTGGCCATGGCTCAGCTCCCATTCATGGCCCTTCCCAGTCAGGCTCCACACTCAGCCCCTGCCAGGAGATTAGTTCCTGCACACCTCACTTACTAGACTCTCAAAACCCCTCTCTGTGCTGCTTCCTACCCTGCTCTAGACACTTAGAAAGGTCTCCTCAGGAGCATCTGCAGTGTAACCTATTACTCTCTCTTCAAAGATTTTAATAATCTCCTCTTCAACAACACCTACCAAAGCTTGACAGGGGTTATCTAATATTAGACTGCTGATGGGTTAAGGACGCTGCTATCAAGATGACTGATAATACCTCATTGTTTCTTCTTGCTTCCTGTCTCTCTGTCTGTCTGGTCTTCCTCTCTGCACTGAGATCATAAGTGCTCTGGGACAGAAACAGGGTGGTTTTTTTTAACCTGAATTTGTACATGATTTAGCAAAATGGGGCTAGGCTCTGCAAATAGGAGTCGTGGTGCTACAGAAAAATGAAAAGTAAACACAGTATCACAAATTACAGTCTATTTTGCTAATAGGTTGAAATGACTACCCGAAGAAGGTTCAATGATGACTTGTTTCTCTCTGGTAGAAACCTTTTGCATAGGGGTGATTTTAACACACAAATAATGTTATTTTATTTTGAGATTAACAAGTACCAACAAACAACAACTACACCAAAAATAAAATATAAGGAAAAGTAAACTAATTTCTGCCCAAACATAACAAATACCTCTCAGTGACAGAGTTTTATAACACTACACACAAAAAAATAATAAATGAAAGCAAGCACAGAGACCACATCCATTCATTATAAACCCTGTGCCATATGAAAACAACTTATTAAGGCTGGCAGAAAGTTTTTCGTTCAAGGTGTTTTTCGTCTGCAATGTGGGATTCAGCAACACAACATCTTTCACAGAACTAACATTTCATATTTTCATCAAAAGTATTGGTTTAGTTTTGATTTTGTTTGATAGAAAATGGAAGGAGAGGGACAGGAGGAAGAAGGAGGGAAGCAGATTGGGGAGCAAATTTAAGCAAACCTTACTAGAATGCCCTTTTAATAGTTAATCTGATTGCAGGCATAGAATAATTCGTTATTTCTGCACAGAAAGCCTTGGCTCATTATCAGAAAGGACAAGACAGACTCACAAAGTATGTTCCAGAAAATGATGGGACTTGGCAAAACTGCACATACAGTCATCCAGGACAGTGGCATTGTCTCTGTGTGTAAACCCAGCGAAAAGGATCTGCCACTATCAGAATATGATGATTCAGAGACAGCAGAGAGAGAAGGCAAAGCAATGCTCAAGCTGAGGCAGTTTATGGAGCAGTACTGTCTCTCAGCCCAAAAGAAAACTCCCAAGAAACAACTGTAGGGTTACCACACTACCACCCAGGATCAGCTCCCTCTGCCAGCAAATGCAAACACAAGGCACGTGCATATGTTCCAACCCATACAACCCCAGATGTTAACAACTGTTAATGTATTTACAACATGGTCACAAACCTTTTGTTTTACTTCAGGAAGAGCTTTTTGGAAATAAGTGCAACAGAGAATCTGATTCTTTACTATGTTATTTCACTTTGATGCTGCTGCATTTCTGCTAGTGTCAATGGTATTTCTAACACTGAAGTAAAATGATGATTATGCAGTCCCAACATTTCATTATTAATATCACCTTCCTCCTTCTGTGAAGCTGAACTTTAACTTTCAAATAATACTTCTTCCAAATGCCAGCTTGGTACAGTTTGATTTGCAAGGCCTTTTGTAAGAAAAGGAGTGAAGCATGCAATCTGAATATATACTTTCTAATTCTCTTCTCTTTTTTCAGTTTAGCCTCTTCAGTTGTACCTTTAACTTTAAATATATTGGTAATAGGCAAGTCTTTCTAGTTCAGCTCACAAAAATTACATGCCTGCACATGACAGCTGAGAAACTCAACAATTTTAAATAAATCGCTGTCATATTTTTTTTCAATGGGAAGTAGAATCTTTGAAATTTCTAGTAGAAGTGGCAACTGTTTGGTGACAAGTTCATTTTAGACAACTGTGAAATGATATTTAAACTCAAAGTCTAAGCTTCAAAGCATACCTAGCTTCCTATCCTGCAGTGTCTCAGATACCCACCCACTCTAGCAAACTGACAGCTCTCAAGCTGCCATCACACAGCATCTGCGCTGGGGCTCTCAGACCTATGGCGAAGAGCCCGCCTGCCAGGAAGCCTGTCCCAGGACAGTCTGTGTGCAGCTGTCCCTGGCAGTCGCAGAAATCCAGAATCTTTGGCAACGGCCAGCCTTCCAGTTCTGGTGAACCAGAATTTCCAGTAACAAACTGTCATGTTAGAAATTGCCCAGCCCACTCAAACCCAATGTGAAACAGAGTTTTATCACACTGGGATTCCTGGTAAAATGCTATTTGAACACAAACCAGAAAAAACCCTAAGGCACTGAAAATAATGTTTAGCTTCCCTGAACCCACTTCCTCCACATGGGTCCACATTTTATAGATTTATACCCTTACAGAAAACACTATATGAGAGAAAATGCTGAAAAAAGTAACATAGTTTTTAGCATGATGCTATCAAAAAATATCAACCAAACTGAACAGAACATGTATAAACAGCAACAATAAAAATTAAAAGCAAACAAGCTGGAAATTCCATTACCTCATCTGAAGTTTTCCCACTCTGACAGATAAATTACATTGTTATCCTGCAGTTATTTATTTATTATGCCTCGCACCTATTTCTGACATATTACAATGAAAATTTGCTACAGAGGTAAGCTGATGGGAAAGTTTGATGAAAGCTTCAGGTCATAATTATAAGGTGACCCTTATGCTCAGCACTCCTAGGTCATACATTACAATTTCTCTTGTAAACACAAAGATTTTCACCAAATTCATTGTCACTACTTAGTATTCAATGAACATGGAAAAGCCATACACACAGATGCTTGCATAAGAAACCACCTTGATTAAAGCAAACTGCTGTCCTCAGCAACTGCATGCGTGTATTCCCAGATGTAATATACCAGATTCTCTATTTGTGACAGGGAAAAAGGAAGGGCCACTCAGACAAACAAAAAATAATAGCAAACTATACAGCCACCTCCCTCCCTCGCCTCAACTATTTTTCATTATAAGTATGCACCTAAAGAGCATTTTAAGAGGGTATGATTATGAAGAATGGGAGGAAATAACATGACAAAAAGAAAAAGGAGAAATTCATTATTATCAACACAGGCTTTGTTCAGGTACATGGCCCAGCCTTGGCTTGACTGTACTGGAAGAAAGATGGGAAACATGATCCAGAAGCAAATTACAGTGTGTCCAGCCAAGACACCCGTTTGGACAACAAGGGTCAGGAACCCAGAATATACCACAGAAAGCAACTGCTGTGCAGTTTTAAACACAGCCACAGAGGCCAACCCTAGAAACCGTAGCAGAACGGACATTATCACCATGTAGTAGCACTGTGGTCCCAATGCAGGTGTGTGTAGTCTAGCTGGGCCTTGAAATGTATTACTGCTGCACAAGTAGGTCTGGCTGTGTCAAATCAACTTCCATTTTAATGAAGTAACGTACACTGTCAGGCCTTTTTACATGTGTTCAAGAACCAACTACAGTAAATCCAACCGAGAAAGGACATGGTCTTCCAATTCCTTTAATATTTTGCACAAGGATAAAATCTTCTCCCAAAGAAAACAAGTGTTTTAGTGATATTTGTAAGGCCTACCTTGCCCAGACCAGGCGTGTCTTTCACTTTGCTGACTGCCCTTAACAAACATGGCGGTGCAGGGGGTGGGGAAGTCTGAAGGATGCTGCTGAAGCTGGTGGAGAAGAGAGGAGATTCAGGAACAGATGATGCAGAAGGCCTGTGTTTCTTCTTTTTGGAAGACAGGTTCAATTTCTGAGCGGCTCTGTGGGAAAAATGAGAAGAGTAAGCTAAAATAACCCCAAAATCATCAACACAAGCAGCCAAGACTAAAGAAAGGTATTCATTAGGTTACTGTTTAAGTAGGATCTTGTTTTTGATGTCATTGATCCCAACAGTCTTATAATTCTTGTTCTTAACTCATTATTACTAGCTTAATGCAACTGACTTCACAAAGTTGCTACAAATTTAGACAGTCTGCATTAAGTAGGGTCACAATCAGGTCTCCGTCACTATCTCATCTTTTGAAACAATTCAGCCTGCAAGAAATCTCCAAAGCCTCCGATTAAATCAATGGCAATTTCTGTTCTAAAATTAAGTTCAGTCACCAAAAGGTTTACACAGAATTGTGTCTCTGATTAGAAAATGAATACTTGTGCAATGCTTGGATGTAAGTAGCCACTGTTAAGTTAATGAGTATTAAATGCTCAGGTGAATTAGCTGATGTGTAAGAAGCCTTGCACTAGTTGTTTCAAATTTTTATCACCTCTTAAAACATAAACCAGTCTAAAAACTAAACAAATGGTGACCAATGAAAATATTTCTGTTTGCAGTGAGATGGAGACAATTATATTTCCAAATCACAGGAGATAGGACAAGGGGAAATGGCCTCAAGTTGTGCCAGGGGAGGTTTAGATTGGATATTAGGAAACATTTCTTCACCGAAAGGGTTATCAAGTATTGGAATACACTGCCCAGGGAAGTGGTTGAGGCACCATCCCTGGAGATGTTCAAAATACAGGTAGACATGGTCCTCAGGAATATGGTTTAGTAATTTTTATTTCCTATTTCTTTTTTTTTTTTGGGCAGAATTAGGTTGATGGTTGGAGTAGATGATTTTTAAGGTCCCTTCCAACCTAGATGATTCTATGGTTCTATGATTCTATACCAACTACAGCTGCATTAACCACTAAACAGAGAAAAGAACGAAGACTGTTTTTAACACTACAGTATTCTTAGATAAGAATGCTGGAGTTTGTATAAACTTTGATTAAAAAGCTAAGCTTTTCTGGAACAGAAACATTCAGTACTTTTGTTTTGCAAAACGTTATATTTTGAGAGACAATTCAACATTCAGCCTTCGTTGCAGCTGTGTTGTTGCAACACTTGTGCATTCTGCACTGCCCAGGAATAATGTTAAAATTAATCACCCCATCCCACAGTTTCCCTTTTGTAAAAGGGGCACTTTAAACAGAGCAGGTTAACTGGAGCACCATCTCAAAGGAGACATGGATATAACAATTCATGAGTCTACTTTCATGTTGTTTGCTTTGGCAGACAAATTATGACTTAAGATAGGTATAAAAGTAGTCTTTGCTGACAGTAGCTCTCCTTACTTTGCTGATGTGTGATAGTCAAGACCAATAATTCTAAATCCTCCTAAGTTTTACAAAGCTTTAGATCCATTACACTGGTATCAGTATATATTATCCAACACTGAACTTAGAAAAGTCATGACATTATTTTATCCCAAGCAGTCAGGGAAAAAAGATCGAATATATTTATGTACACTGATTTCAGTGTGCAAGTACCTTGTGTTTGTATCAGGCATCTGAGACACATAAACCAATTAACACTGTGCATGAAGGTGCCATATGTCAGCTGGTTGTGTGCACACTGTGTGCACTGCCAGTATGTATTCTTCTAGCCTATGGCAAGTGCAAACCAGTTCCAGATAGATTAGTTTTTAATAAAAGAAAAACACTAGGAGATTTTAATTGATCAGACACAAAATTACAACTCAGAATTTTCTGTACCACCTTCTTGTCCTTGTCTTTCCCCTTCCCTCTGGCCTGAAGACTGTAGTTTATGACTTGGCCCTCTCTTTTAAAAGTCTGCTTACTTTTCCACAGGGAACATAATCAAAATGTGTTGGTCAAAACAAAAGCAAAAAGCACCAATTTTTCCTTTTCCCAGCAATATTTCAATCATTCAAGAGAGTTCAATGATTTCAGCTTCCACAGTGTCCATTACTAATGCTTTTACCAAGTTTTCCATGCTTAATCAAGATCTTCTGTATGTCTTAGCTTCATTATAAAATAATTTTAAGCAAAATCTTGTTCTATGTGCAGCAACTGAAAATATAAATGTTGGCCAAACACACTGAAAAATTTACTCCTGTGGTCAAGTACAGTAGCCCAGTCTTATATATAGGCTGTGGTTCCACCCAGTTTCCATCTGTTATACATCTGGTGCCACTGACTCACCTTGGGTGAAAATACATTTCCTAAAAGCCATTTTCCAAGTTGACTGACAGAGCCATTATCCCTCTTGCCACTAAAGGCTTCCCCAGCAAAGCTGATAGTGTAATACAAACCACTTCTTGACCCAACCAAGCCCATAGCTGGCATTTTCTTCAAGAAAAAACATTGTTGGAGGTACCTGGCCTTTTCAAAACCTTGGAACTATATTCTAGTTTGACAGTTATAACCTTTGAGATTACATTCAAATGGAAGAACCTGAATTTTCCTTTATATTTTTGGCCTACAACTGGCAAAATGTATGAAAAAGCAATGAACTATTTCTCACAACTTCATGGGGTTTTCTGTTTTTCCCCCAAGGATAAAAAAATCAATGCATGGCAGACTAGAAGACCATTTACAAGCCCTATCAGACTTGACTGAATTTTGATGGGGATCAAAAAGGCAATAAACCTCAGGTAATTCCCAGACCATTTAACTAGGAAAAGAAGGATATTTTAACCAGATGTAGGCTGCAATATGACACAAACAGGTACACTGTGGCTTTCTTGGGAACACATTTGTGTGAGTAATATTGTTCAGCTTAGGTGGCTAGCATTGCTCTGAATGCAGTAAGTCATGCCAGCTGATGCTGATTTGGCCCTATGATCTAGCACAAGAGGTTAGAAATTCTCACATTTTACTTTTCAAGTCAGGGGTCTGGCCTTCCCATGCAGACTCTCTGGACAGCCAGACTTCTCGGGCAAAGCACCAGGCCAGACCACGGGAGATCCGATGTTGCTGTGGCTCACAGCCTGACCAGCCCAGCCAACAGCTGTTTCGACTCTGCTCTTTGTACAGGAGCTAGCTAGTTTGTTTTCTTTTAATATCTAATATAATAGGACTCTGATTTCCACTTGAGACTATGCATGCTACTGCAGTAAGGGTAATGGTGGTGATGGCAGCATGGTCTTATGTATTGAGAATAAGCTGATGACACGCCAAGTTAGGTTGCATGCCACTGGAGCCGAGTGCTACCAGCTATGAGCCGTGCAGGGGAGTGCAGTGAGCTCCAGTGCAATGCAAAGCACTCCCTGCTGTGTGCAGCACGGCTGTGGTAGGGATTGTGTCCACAGCGACACACAAGGAACTTGATCCAAATTAAATTTTCAAAGTGCATTATGTAAACTTTATTAGACCACTCTGTGGACACACTCATTCACAACATAACTGACTTTAATGTCATTTTACTGAATTATCTTCCAAAATAATGCAGATTTAATCCCGTTTAGCTAATATACTTTGGATTCACACCTTCAGTTACTTTGGATTATTTTTTCCTAAGAGTGCCTATGTAAACAAGCAGCCAGAGACTTTTTGAAAGCTTACAAGATTTGTGGGCAATGAAATAATCACAAGATCAAGATTTGAGATTGCAGAAGGGGTGTTAGAAAGCTGATTAAAGTTCAATCCAAGTAAAACTGACGGATTGCTGGCAGGAAAGGAGAACTGCTTTGAATGTCTCCCTGATCCATAGTAAAGACTGAGGTCATCTCCTGAAATACATTCTCTAATTTTTGTTTTTTAAAATACAATTTTAATAAGGTGTATATATTTGGGTAGTAGAATGCTTTTCACCTCCCATCTATGCAGAAATGGCGATACAATTTTTTCCCTTAAAACTCCAGGGGCAGGCTGGGATTTTCAAACACATTTATTGTAGAGCTAACTCTCCTACACTGGAAGCCAATTCATAACTGATACGAACTTTCTGAAATCTTAAGATCTTCTGTGGGATTCACTGAAGAAATGAAAGTAAACCAGCTTAAAAGTAATTGTGAGACATGAGGGGGCAAAGTAGGTCTTTGGACACTTGTCTGGAGAGATGAATGAACAGAAATGGATTAAATATCCATTTTTAACACAGAACAAAGGCACTGCTAGCGGTGATGCAAAGATCTCTGCTAAGAAAGTTATTCATACTACTTATAAGCAATACAAAAATGAAGTTGATGAAAATTTAGACAAATATATAAGGCATTATGGAAAGCTCTGTAAATACCTTGCTTAGAGACGTCACTGGGTAATGGTTACAGTACAACATACATAAGGAAACACTGTGGAAAGAACAGTTTCAAAATTCATGGCTTCTTAATTAACATTGGCTTCTCACAAAAAACAACTTCAGAAAATGAGGACAAACCCATACATTCACTTGTTGCTAAGCAATAGTCAGGGGAGAAAAAATAACACAAGAAACCACAAATGGTGTGATACAGCACTTAAAGAAAAGAATGAGAACTAAAGCCTCCCTGCAATACATAATGTTCATGTGCCTCCAGCTCCAACAGAATGGACTGGGACCCCATTTGGCATAAATTCATATAAGATTGTGAATTTCAGTGAGCCTAGTTATGCCAACTCATGGCATATTTACTATCTCTCTTTTAACCAAGAAAACAGACACTGCTGATAAAATTCAAGGGAGATCTATTTAGCTTGATAAAAGAAATTATTTTTGACCCAATGTATCATCCAAGGCAAAATTAAAACTTTAGGACTCACTGTCAAAGTAGAGGTCAGTAAGGCCAGAAGGTTCATTGGATTCAGTAGGAGATTAGACATTTAAGTGAATAGTTAAAATATTATTCACACTTGTGTCAGCAAAGATCACCATTGATAAGCAACACTGACTCTCACGCTTCAGTACCTGACGTGCCCCTTCACCACTGACATCTGAAGAAATTTCCTTAGGTGCCTATCTCTGTATAATTATTCATTAGTGGAGTTTCATACTACACTTTAT